TTTTTTTTTTTTTTGCTCTAATTTTATTTATTAAAAATTCAACTACCTCATATTATGTCTCTTTTTTCCTTTATTTTTTATTTTTTTTAAAATATAAAGAATAAGAAGGTACATAAAAGGAATAATTAGAAGATAAAAAAGTAAAAAAAATAAAAGGTAAATTAAAAATAAAAGAAGGCACAAACACGAACACGTTGTGATAGAGGACCAAAAGATTGGGGGCGATAGAATTTTACCATTTTAAGTAAACCCTTTACAATATGTCACATGTTAACATCTCCAAAGGGCAGCCCCCAATTGCTGCCTACTTTATTATTTTGAAATTGACAGATGCCATATTGTTTTGTCCATTAATTAATAATTATAACATTTTTTTAATATAAAAAATAAAATAGGCCCACTTGCATATATGTACCGATATTTTTTCCCTTCATTAAAAAAGCTGTTTACAGTAATTCACAATAAATTTAATTAAATAGTTCCAAATTCCGTACTCACATATATAAAAGTACAATAATAACAAATATTATTTCAACATAAAGTCATTTTCACTAGTCCAAATTAAGGCTAAGGTTGAAACATGAAAGAAACATAACACTAAGTCAAGTAGCCCTTATTGAAGGACCCATCTTTATTTATTATTGTCTAGACAAGCATGCATGAACCAATATTGCTATGGTTGAAAAAATTAAAAAGTAAGAAAAATTTACCATTATATTTTGGGGGAGATTCTACGGTCACGGAACCATTCCGTCGGGATTTGTAACCGTTAGATCAACTATGCGGCTACATGATGATCTAACGATTACAAATCCCGACATAATGGTTTCGTAACGGGACTGCAGCATTTCTCTGAGATAGAAAAAGCAAAACCTTGAATCCTCTTGATTATTGTCCCAAGCTTTGAAGAGAAGCCATATGAGATGCTATATCTTTTCAAGGGTTCCTCTTATCTTAATTTAATTTCCTCCCAAAAAAGAAGAAATTAATAAGAAAGAAAAAGAAAAGAAAAGAAAGATGTTGATATTTGTAACTATATTTGTGTTTGGAAAGGATCTATAGCTATTCTCAAGCATATATATCAACTGATAGCGAGACACACAAAATGCATCAATAGCTAGCTTTATATATAATTTTTGGTGACTTGTCTAACAACTTTGAGTCACAGCCGTGGAACATGGGTTTCATTTGATATTCTCAACCCCAAATTTTTACATTGTGTGTGAAAAATATTGTGGACCACGACTAATATATAGTACTAGTCTATATCCAAATTCACCTAAACATATATTTCAATTGTGGTTGGGTAAAATTAAAGTTATTCACAAATGTTATAATAATAAACCTAACTCCATAGATCTCGCCCGATACTCGTCTTTCATCCTCAATTTCCCCCGAAATTTACGATAAGATTAAGTGAACGAATGTGTTTGTGTGGTATACATAATTATAAATATTGCAATTGCAGGTGGTCGAAAATTGCGAAACATCTTCCGGGAAGGACAGATAACGAAATAAAGAACTACTGGAGGACTCGAATTCAAAAGCACATTAAGCAAGCCGAGAATAATTGCACGACCAGCCAACAAGGCGGCGATCAGCACAGCACAGATCAAGTCAGCACGAGCCAGATTTCGGGCTATGGCCCGACTGATCATGCAGTCGAGTCCTATTCCCCAACCTCCTTGAATGGGAATGTGGATGCTTATCAAGCCCCTTTTCCCACTTACCAAACGAATGAAAGCCTTTGGGGCATGGAGGATCTCTGGTCCATGCATTTGCTCAATGGGGATTAAGTTAGATTGATATGTTTATTGGTCTCTATTGGAAGAAAATATCCGCCATGTCACCGTAAGACCGATAACCCTAAGTATGAATCTAGGTTATCAACCTCGTTGTATAAATTAATTAGTCTAAGTCGATTAATTTCCATAGAACTATATGGTTTTTGGGATATGTTTGTATGGTGTTGGTTTATATATATTTATATGTTATATAAGATATATATGATACAAAGTGATGATTTTGCTTACATATGTCTAATTGTTTTTGTTTATGTAAATGTACTTTTCTTTAGTACGGATCATATGGTGATTTTGTAAATTAATGATTGTGTTTGTGTATTGAGAGAGTTTCATTTGTTTCTATAAATGCATGTTTAGGATTAGAGTTAACTAACCTTGTTGGATTAGCAAAATTAGTACGTACCTAAAAAGTGATTAACACTCGAGTGATGATTAATTAGTTTGGTGTTAGTGACTGACGTCGTTTGTTTCACTTTCATGTGTTTATCACAATTCACAAAGAAGCATTGCTATCTAATTACCTTTATACGTTGTGAGGTAGACTTTGCTTTAATTATCAATATCAACCGACTCAAAAAGTCGTGTCTTAATCAAACGCGACGTCCCTATCTAATTTCACAATCAGATTAAAAATGTCTTGCACTTTGTTTGCAAATACTTTTATATGGAATTTTAGTATTTTACACATCATTTGAAAATTAATTTATAATTAATGTTAAATTAAGAGTAATCTTAATAATAAGTCTATTCTAAAAGAAATTCATTTTTTTTACACCTATTGTGAAATGAACTTCTACAAAATTCTTCCCAAACAAACATTCAATTCTGTCATTTTTGGATTTCTATATTATTTTTCGTGGTACAAAAATTCTATATATACAAAATTAAGGTATTTGTATTTTCTACAATTTGAAGAATATAATGAAGGTACACAAAATACATACTCGTATACATTTTATACGCATTAATCATGGCATAAATACATATATTATATGGGAAATGAAAGTTCCATGTACAACAAATTCAAGCACACCAAAGAAGAAAATGCAAAGTACACCATTGAAGAAAAATGCTAGCCACCAACCCTTCACCACCTTCTTCATTCACACACATTTTTTCAACAATCGTGTTCTTCCTCATGCCTATAAATAGGTTTGTTATTTCATTCATTTTAATCATCCTTGAGAGTGATCAATCAACCTAGAGAGTGTTGAAACACAACCAAGAAAGAGTTGTGAAGTGTTTGAGAGTTTTTTGTTTAGAGTTTGTAAATCTCTTGTTTTTATTCTTGTGAGTAATAGAAACTTGTTTTTCTCTCAAATTATGTTTATGATCTTGGGATGATACCACAACAAGTGGTATCAGAGCAAGGTTTGAAGCTTTCGAGCTATATTTTGATTTTTTCCGAGCTTCTGTAGAAATTCGAGTTCCTGTGTTGTGTTCGAAATTCAATTCCGAGGACACCGTTGGATTCGTCTCGTCGAGAAGGTCGCGGTAATATCTTACGGGCGAAAAACGGACACCGGAACTGCCCCGAAAAGCCTTCCGAAGTTCTGAAAAAAAAAAAAAAAAAAAAAAAAAAAAAAAAAAAAAAAATCAGAGGTTGAAGACGATGACGTGGCGCCACGTCATCTGACACGTCATCATCACGTCAGCAGCAAAGTCCCAATCAGCAGCCCAGTCAGCTGCCACGTAAGCAGTACAGTCATCTGCCACATCATCTGCCACGTCATCAAGCAGGGTCCCAGTTTCTACCACATCATCAGTCCAGTCAGCTGACACGTCAGCAGTCCAGTCAACTGCCACGTCATCATTAAAAAAAAAAGACCTCCCCCCCCATTTTCGACTGTTCCGGACGCAACGGTGCTGTCTGTTTTTCAAAATTCAGCTCCGATTTGTCCCAAACAGATCATTGAAGGTGTAAAATGGCTATGGAAGAGTCAACTTCATCTTCTGGAGCCATGATTATGCTCACGGCTACCAACTATACGTTGTGGAAACCTCGGATGGAAGATTTCCTCAGCTGTAAAGAGCTCTTTGACCCAATAGAGCTGCAGGGTATTAACCCTGATCCGTCCAAGGCGTTAGAATGGAAGAAAATCAATAGAAAAACTATTGGTCAAATCCGACAATGGATTGATCATAGTGTCTTCCATCATGTTGCACAAGAAACCGACGCATATGTCCTTTGGAGGAAGCTGGAGGACATGTACCAGGCCAAAACCGCTCAGAATAAGGCTTCATTGATGAGGCGCTTAGTCAATATGAAGTTGAAAAGTGGAACTTCAGTTGCCGAGCATACCAGTGAGTTCCAGAGCCTGGTAAATCAACTATCTTGTGTGGAGATGCCGCTTGGAGATGAA